CCCACATTGGACTCTGCGCTGACAATGCAGAGCCTGCTTGGGTTTCTGTCCCCCCTGCCCCTCCCCTGCTTGTTCTCTATCTCCCTTTCTCTCACAACACATAAAAATAAACTTAAAAAAAAAGAAAAGAAAGAAAAGAATTCAATCCTCAATCCCAGGGAAGTTATCCAGGCCAAATCGTGATTCGAAAGCCCTTTGTGTGGTGCTGCGAAGGCCCACAGCAGATTCAGAAGGGACAATTCTTCTACGTGAAGAAGGGGAAATGGTTTTATCTGAAGTACTCCTCGGTCATTGCCAGGTGACCATAACCCACACGGAGTTTAATTGTGGCATCGTGTTTACCATATCCAGGGGAGATGAACTCAGCCCTATAAACAGTCTGCTCTCTCCGAGAGTCGCATCTGAGACATTACTGTGTTAAACACATTTTCATGGTCCAAAATAAGAGCATGATTAAAAAGGATTCTAAACAAGGATTTATTTTCTGCCTGAGAAGCTTAAAATATGGACACCACCAGCAAAGGCCAACATTCTGAGTATGGCGTAACAGAGAGGAAGACAAAGCGCTGGGCCAGGCCTACAGCCTGCGCCCGGAACATCGTCTGCCAGTGTGTGGACGTTGCCAACTAAAATGATGCAAAATGTCAGCCTCACATCTGTTGAAAAGGGGCTCCTCCTACAGGAAGCAAGATGGTGGGGCTGGGGGCACTAATATCATTAAAACGTCAAGGCACAGTGTAATACAGGAAAATGTCGTTGAGCAACACATTGCTAAGACTTGAAATCTTTATTTCATTTCTTTTCAAAGGCACTGTGAGCATAATGAAAAGAGTACGGCTTTAAGAACTAAGCTTCACCCCATGAGGCATTAATGGAGTCCAGAAACTATGTGAACAATCTTACTTGACGTCCCGAGATGTTATATCTGTTCAGTGAAAAAACCAGAGGGGGGAACATGTTAATTTTCTCAGCCTTTTGATAGCACATACACAAGATCTCTTAGTCCCACAGAAAGCTCCAAATATTCTCTAGAACTTCAACTGCCTTAAAATATAGACTTGCATTTATCTTGGCCACATTAACGAGATCTGTTTGACCAATACATTTATATTTATGATGACTAAGGGCAGATTATGGTTGTTAAAAGTTGTCCTTGGGACATGAAAACACTCCTCTGTCATTAATACATTTTGTAATATAAACTATGATGTCAGGTCAACGTAAAGGGTAAAAACGTTCCTAAAGTATGCACACATCATTTTTTAAAGCAATTGAGCCTAATGGAATAACAAAGGTCATCATAACAAACCATTACAGCCTTGGTCTTGGCAACTCTGGACACAGAAGAATCTCCAAGAAACGATCATCATTCCTCCAATGTTATGGCATCCAGACGACAGGAATGGCTTGCAAATGAGTCATACAGGCTCAGATCCTCGGTAGCTATGTGAGCCCTGGACAATCAATTATTCATGTGTTTACAGAGAGCTTTCCCGGTTGATGTTAACCAGAGCTGCCTGCAAAGAAGAGTTCTCCAGCTGTCCTCGGCCATCCTGGGCCTCCAACTAACAAGCCGATTTAATTGCTGGGCAAGTCATCTGGAAGGTGCCCCTCCCGTAGACCAAGTAAACACAATTCCTTTGAGGCTTTATTAGGTGTAAAAATATTAATCAGAAATAATGATGACAATACTTTCTTTCCCTTGCTCCCAGCAAATCCCAAAGACAGAGATAGAAGTTAGTCTTGACTTACATCCCACAGAGCACCACCAGGACTGGAGCCTGGACTATGGAAGATACAAGTCAAGGATTGGTAGAAGGTACAGAGAAGGAAATGAAGGGAAAAAATCAGGGTCTGTGGGCTTCATGAGGGAGGTAAGAGGAAGAGCAGTCTAGAATGCCCTGTGAAGGTAAGGCAGCATGACTGAAGACCACCAAGGGTGAACAGATGAGGTTGGTCAATAGCCAAACATGATTGAACTTGACCCACCCATCAAAATCGGCCTTAGAACAAGTTAAATGAGAAGGCACTTCTCAGCCCCTTTTGTTACCTCAGCCTGTCCAGGATGACTAATAATGTGATTAGGGCAACTCCTCTTTCTGAGCTCTGCCCAAGAGGATGGGACCCAATGGCCCCGCCAGTCCCCTATCAGCTGTGTTTGGAGGAAGACCAGGATCATAGCCAAAGCTGTTGCCTGGGTCTCCTCCTCTGAAGACAGTGCAGTCAAAGCAGACAACGTGATACCTCAGGGACATTTCTATTATCCCAATTCTAAGAGCATTTGTTGAATCCTTCAACCAGATCTTTCCCCTTGCTTGAAAGTGGGCAAGTTCAGACACTATCAAAACTTATCCATTCCTAAGAAAATTGTAGAACCAAACGGTGCTCTTGCTGATACAAGATCATGGCGTAAAGGGGGGGGCGCCTGGGTGGTTCAGTTGGTTAAGCGTCCAATTTCGGCTCAGGTCATGATCTCACGGTATGTGAGTTCGAGCCCCGCATCAGGCTCTGTGCTGACAGCTCGGAGCCTGGGGAGCCTGCCTGGCATTCTGTGTCTCCCTCTCGCTTTGCCCCTCGCCTGCTCATGCTCTATCTCTCAAAAATAAATAAAGATTTTTTTTTAATTTTTCAAAGATCATGGTATAAAGGGAGTATATAGGTATGGTCAGAAGCAATAGGGCCCTAGGGTAGTTCTGCTTCAGGTAGTGGGAGACAACTCTAGCTGACAAGTTGTGAGGGAAAGGTAAAGCTAACAGATGGAAAGATGGCGCAGCTCCCTGGTGTCTAGAGCATCCTGGAGCACCTGTGTGGTGCTGTTGTAAGGACGCTAGAGTCTGTGTCCACCCCCTCAACCCTGATCCACCCTATCCATCCACAAATGCAGGTTTGGAAAACGAGCCCAAAGGAAAGGAAGGCTTCTCCCCAGGGTCCATAATAGGCAAGCTAGCCCAAGACCCTCTCTCCACACCGCCTTTAACCTTTAAGCCTCAGTGCCACCCTTCAGCCCCAGTCAGAGGGACGAGGGAGAAGACAAGAGGGGGCGTCCGAAGAGATGCCTCCTCCATGTGGCTGGGCCTTCTCATGAGAGGACCATTCCTGCTAATCATGATTCCTTCCTTGCCCCTGGCTGATGCTCCCTCGAGAGAGCTAGAGATCAGAGCAGCTTTCTTGAAGGGGGTTAGATAGTGTGGGGGAGGGCAGTGTTGAACAGAATTCTTCACTTGAGGTCCCGAGCCTCCACTGAACTGCTGGGCCTGTGAAGAAAGCCCGAGGTGAGGCAGGCAGGACTCCCCAGAGTTACTGGTCCACGAAATTCCTTTTTAGGAGCATCCCTTTTTAGGAGGTCACGCACCAACAAAGCCTCGGGCAGCGTCGTGTTCAGGTGGGGCCCCAACGGCCTGGCTAGACCTACAGTCGAAGCCCGGCGTGAGAGCCTCTCCAGCGCATCTGAGGGACTCCCCACCATCTGCTCTCCGCCATCTTGGACCCCTCCAATCTGTCACACTATCAGAGTCCTGGGGTCACTTGCCAGGCACTGCAGCCCACCATCACCGTTGGTCACAGCCTCACAGACAGTTTCCCAAAGTCACAAGCTGGCCCGGCCTCAACGCGGTCTTAGCAAATGGGCAGCACCCCTCAAGGTCACCTCCTCACCCCCCACTGCCTCCCTAAGGGCAGAGAGGAGGACATCTCAGTGCCTGACAGCTGCCCGATTTCCAGCAGGCCCAACACGATTTCTTCCTGCCCTTGTGTGTATGGGCTGCTGCTTCTGTCCCCCGGGTGTGAAGCTCCCGCTTCTTCTGTGGAACAGCCGTGAACGTGAGCCTCTGAGCAGCCCGCCTGGAGCCTTTCCCACACTCTCCTTTTCAGGATCTCTAGTTCTGGGCTGGTAACTCTCTGCTGTGATGACAGCATAAAGTTGCCACCCAGAATGAAACACAATACCCATCAAGAGTGGACACTTTGGCCTGACCTCGAAGGCCTGTCATCCACAGCTGTAAGACCTTTCTGAGGGTCTGCGATGGTCTCTATTCTCGATCCTATATTTCAAGTGGAATTGTGTGCAAACGTTCAGTATCCAAAATAAACGAGACATCAGCCCGGCCTTTGGCATGAACCAACTCATTAAATATAAAATAAACACAAGTAAATGGCTTTTAAATCTCACTGACAGAAAGCTTGGCAACTCCTCTGAGATTCTGAGGGTCATTGGAACTTCTCTCTCCAGACAGGAATCTTCCTCACACTCTAAGGGGCAGAAGGGGACCCCCGACAAATGATGGTGTCCGGACACCCCCCTCCATTCAAGGACTGCCCTGCACCACAGAACGGGTCACTGGGGGAAGTGGATGTTACTATTTACAAAGGGCTAGAAATTCAGGCGAAGGCATTCAGCTTGCCGCTGATTATAAATCCCTAGGAGCAGCCGCCAAATCAACCTTGAGTTTATCACTGGTGCCTAACTATTGGCTAGTCTCAGAGTCAGTCTTCACATGGTTTCTTAACTCCTGTGTGCATTCCATTACTGGCTCCCAAGGGCCTATCAGTGATGTTACCTGCCGAACTCTTATTTTTGCCTCAATCTATCTGTAGTTTTGGCATAAAGTGGATTTGTAAGGGGAAGGTGATGGGCCAGGTCACCTAATTGTTTTCATTCTCCTCTTCACGCCAAGGGTGCAGAAAACAGATTGCAGTGAGTCACCGACCAGAAAACATATATATGTGCACCTGTAAACTTCTAAGGTTACCTCCGAGCTTGGCTAGATTCCAATGATTACTAACCTCTTTCATAAAACTGACGTGGAAAACGGACAGCTTCTGGTGAGAAGCATGTTTGCTTGACAGCCCATCAAAGATGGGTGTTTGCTTAGGGAAGCTGTGTGCGAGCAGGTGCATTTGTGAGAGGCTCGGCTCTGGTCAGGCCGCACAATTATTAGATTGGCCCGTTCACATCCGTCAGCTTCAAAGTCCGGTTTTTGTGCCAAGAAGTTAGTAAGATCTGAAACGAGTCAAAGTAGCTTCCATTTATTTACAGTTTGGGAACATTTTTTTCAGGATTTAGTCAGCTTCCTAAGGACAAAATAGCAGTGAAAGATATGGTTCATCACATGTTAGAGTTAAATCATTAGAAAGTAGAAATATTAGGTATTGGTTTTTAATGAACTGGCATGATTTCTTTTCCTTCTAAAGGTTTTCAGCGGCCTATTTCCAATCATAAAATCACATTTCTTCTTATCCATGGATTCCAGAACTTTCTCTCCCTGGATTTGAGAAGGAGCACCCAGCCATGAGTTGATACCAGCAAGGATCCCGGGGGACTTTGGAGCAGCAGCGCCACCCTCTTGAGAGCTCTTCGGAAATCAAATGCCTACAGCTGAGAAGTAGAGAGTACCTGAAGGTGCTCCCGCTTCCTTTATTAAAAAAAAATTCAGGGATAGAAAATGAAAACCCATTCATGGTATTTTTTTTTTCAATCTTTTCGACAGCATGGGCTGAACTCTCATTCACCACCACTAGGTGGCGTCCTCTCCTTTCCACTTTTCGCTCTTCTGCGCAGAGGGGCGCCACTATTTCACTGGGCAACATTATAACAGCATCTCAGACATAAAACTAGCGGTCTTCCCCTCTCTAGTGCTACTGCCCACCCTCTATGCTGGGAAAACGTTTGGATCACTAATGAGATATATTTGATATTCGTTTCAAGACAAGGAAGTTTTTGTTTGTCTTGCTTTCCACGTGTTGCGTGTCAGAGTCCGACAGCAATGGCTGTTCTCATGAGTTGACTTTCCACCACGACATGTCTGCTGTTCTGTCGCCCAGAGGCACTGTGTGCTCCTGAAGGATCCATCAAATCCTGTGGATGCTGTCTGAGAAGCAACAGCGCCAGATCCAAGATGATCCATGGGATCATCACTTCATGTCTTAAGTGTGTCCTGAAGATCAGGGTCTCCATGTCTTCTGAAAAGGTAGTCCAGGACTTGAGGCGAAAAGGGATGTGACATTCCAGCCTTATCTGGAGAGCGGTGTCATTTCCATTGCACTCTTCCAGAACATTCTTCACACTGGCCCACTCTTCCTCTTTCTCTTCTCTTTCCCTAACGGAGTGGTAATGAGACGATGAAGGTTAGCCCTCTGGATAAGTAAATGGAAAAGGAGCACAAATTCCATAATCACAGGTAAACATGGGATTTTCAGTGAGTGTTCTGCTCTGTCATTTAAGTGACTTACAGATATCCTAGTAAATTACCAAGACCGTATTTCTTTGCCTTGTGCACTGGGACACTGGGATGCACTGAGGCACAAGGAAGTCCAACAGATGAAACACCTAGAAGTCCCAGACCTAAAGAAAATGCTGAGGTATCTGTTCCAAAAGTGTGCTTCTCAGAGTCTGCATTTTTGAGGATATTTTTTAAGGTATCTGACATTCCGGGACAGGATTCCTCTTACTGGCCCAGCAAGTACACAGGATCTCCCACGTTGATTGTCCCTGGGTTTTCCAGAACAAAATACTGCCCAAAGAGAGGTGATTTTCCGTATAGCTTTTGTTCGGACGGGTCACACAGGCGATAGCTGCAGCAGGAGAAAGAGCAGAATGAGTCTCGGCCAAACAGAAGAGCTCAAATAGCACCTTGTTTCTTCTCAGCTAAAGTAAATGTCCACCCCCCCCCCCAACCTGGCCCACACTACCGGGGGCCCGGCTCCAGACACCACCGTCCCCGTCGAAGTGTGACAGATCGGCGCCTCCTGGAGTTGTGCGGTGAGCAGCCCGCCCAGGGCACAAACTACAGAGCGCACCCAACCCCCACATCTTTTCTCCATGGAATGTTCCCTCTGTCAGCACCCAGCGATGAGGAACTCAGGATGTTCAGACATACATACTTCACCACCTTCCTCTTCCTCAGGCGTCTCTCCTCCCGGCTCCCCGAGGGCTGTCACTAGAACCACATCCTATCGGTCCCTCAGGCTTGGGGCCCGGGCTTCTCCTCCACCTTTCCCCTCACTTCCCACCGCCTGTCCGTCGTTGCCAAGTCCTGAGCGTCTTCCTGCACCCACGGCCTCGCGTTTGCTCGCTGTTTCTCCCACTCGCTTCCAGCAGGCTCAGACCCCTGTGACACCTTCTTACCCAGTCTCTTTTCCTCGTTCTCCAGCCCCCACCCCCCGGCTTCCAAGTCATGGTTGGGATGACACTATATTACTTCCTTCATTTTGCTCTGATCTTGTCATTCCTAGGCTCAAAAACTGTCAGTGGCTCCCCAGTGCCGAAAGAACAGCATTCCAACTCTTCAGCGGGGCGTGCAAGGCTCCCTACTGGGCCACGGCAGCTTTTGCAAGCCTGTCACTCTCTGCCCCTTACATGAACCTGTGTAGCTCTCCACTGGGTTACTCAATGTCCCTTTTATTTTTTATGGGGGAGGGGCAGAGAGAGAAGGAGAGAGAGAACCGTAAGCAGAGTCCATGCTCAGCACGGAATCTGACTCAGACGGTGGGGCTCAATCCCACGACCCCGGGATCACGACCGGGAGCTGAAATCAAGTCTGAGGCTTAAGCGACTGAGCCTGTCACGTGTCCTTCCTCAAAGTCCTCTGATCTTGCTTTGCATTTTACTGGCTCAGAGAGACTCCTTTGGGACCCCCTCGTCCACTTCCCTGTGTGTTATCATTTTACCTTTTCCTCAAGGCCTAACTCAAATGCCACATCTCCGAGGAAGGAAGCCCAGGACGTGCCAGCCGGGAGCATTTTTCCCCACCCCTGATCCTCCCTGCCTGCCCCTGGGACACTCACATGCCTTGTCCCCTAGTCAGGGCTCACGTCTCTCTGTCTGCAAGACGGGGAGGGGGTCCCCGACTGCAGCTAACTCCCTTGCGCTGCTCACGCCCAGCGCTGGGCCCCCACTGGTCACCAGTGACCTACAATCATTTGTTGAAATGGACGAGTGAGTTGGTGGGCAAAACCCTCTAGGAGAATCAGAACGGACATCTTCGTCGGGCAGAAAACAGGAGCAGCCCCAGGAAACGGGCCCAGGAGCAGATGTGTGGGAATAACACGCTGAGATTCTCCACCTTCCCCCAACCTGGGAGAAAGCTTTCTCCAGTGTCTCACTTAAGCTAACTCCAATTTTACATCATCTTTTTATTTAAAACATTTTTTCAGAGAGAGAGAGAGAGAGAGCATGCGAGCAGGGCAGAGGGGCAGAGAGGGAGGGAGAGAGAGAGAGAGAGAGAGAGACAGGGAATCTCAAGCAGACTCCACGCTCGGCGCAGACCCCGGGATCATGAGCTGAGCCGAAATCAAGAGTTGGACTGTCAACAACTCACTGAGCCACCCAGGTGCCCCAAAAACACTTCTATAGAAAGCCTTGATTTCATGCTACAGTGCTTTATTTTTTTTTTTTAATGTTTTATTTATTTCTAGGAGAGAGAGAGAGAGAGAGACAGCGTGAGCAGGGGAGGGTCAGAGAGAGAGGGAGATACAGACTCTGAAACAGGCTCCAGGCTCTGAGCTGGCAGTCAGCACAGAGCCCGACGCGGGGCTCAAACCCACGAACCGCGAGATCCTGACCCAAGCGAAAGTCGGACGCTTAACCAACTAAGCCACCCAGGCGCCCCATCATGCTACAGTGCTTTAAAAACAAACAAAAAAATGCTTGTGGCAACCCGGTCCTAACTTTGCTTTTCAGATCAGAAGCGGCAGATGAGCCGCTGGAGGGGATGAAAGCCAGAGGCCAGACTGCAGGCAGCCTGCCTGTCACGCTCACCGCCCTGTGCCACAGCCTGGTGCGGTGCCTGGCACGCGGCAGTCACTGCAGAAAGGTTACTTGAAGAAACCACTGAACGATCAACATTCGTGGATGAAAACCATGAGCTGATGCTCCGGCCGCCCTGCCTGGCCCCGAGCAGCCCAGGCTCAGCCATCAGGTCTGCACAATGACCTTGGACCCTGGGCACCCAGGCACCTCTCCTCACCTCCCTCTCCCATCAACATGCAATAGCAGCGACAGTTTAGAATCTGTGTCTGCCAGTAGCCATCGGCTACTTATATGGCTTGCGATTTCTCCTTTCTGCCAAGTTCTGTGGCCTGGGTCCTCGGCTCTAATGATCTCACAGCGGGTATTGAAAGTCCCAGTCCTGTGCATCACGCATTGATGCTTCCTAAAGACCGTCTCACATGATAGTCTCTTCATCCTTACACACCTATGCGGGACTTTTGAATTATCTCCACTCTCCAGGTGAGTCTCAGAGGAGTAACCAACGTTCCCAAGTTCACTGACCTAAGGGGTCAGGCGGGGCCAGACCTCAGTTCTGGCCCCTCCACCCACAGTCACCCGGCTTCCTACCCAGGATGTGACTGATCCCTGGTCCTCTGTATACCTTGCGAGTGCAGGCACAGGCCTGGAAAGACTGAGCAGGTTAATATTAATTCTTCGACGCAAAGGTTTGGCCACTCACGGGTGTCTCCTGCCTCCTCCCATCAACCACTGCCATATACACTCACTCCCCCCACCAGGTAACTTAGGGTGAAGGGCCCCTTGCAGCCCAGCTCCCCAAACAGTGCAAAATGGGGCAAGAGAGTTGGTTTGTACAAGTGCACTTTCGGTCACCTGGATCGCAGATGGCTGTCTATTTCGGCGCCTAGGAATAGAAACAGGAAGCCTGTGGCAGTGGAGAGCTGGCTCACTGCGGGTTGAGCCCCCCGAGGGCTCCCCTACAACGCCCCCTCTAACTCCCGCCCTCAGGTCCCCCTAACACCGCCCCTGCAGGGACGCGGGAAGACTCCATAAATGAGTTCATGGGCGACCCCTGGTGGTGATGACTGGTACTGCGAGCGGTCTGCAAATTCATGTGCACACAGAGCTTTGGTCAACAGACCACAAACACAGTACTGTGTCTTATGGGAATCACATATGATTTTTTTTCAAATATGCACTTTTTTGTTGGGATTAACAAGTTACAAACTCATTTAAAAGTTCCTTTCTTAATGCATTTTCTTTTTTAATGAGTAGGAAATCTACAACTCCTCTAATGAGCAGGAATTCCAAGCCCCTGTGTTTAACTTCTCCAAACTGCAGGGGACAGTGTGAGCAGACACACTGTGACCTGTAACGTGCTGCGCACCGGTGCGGGCTACTTATTATTTACTCGGCCTGATCTACTCGTTTACCGATTACTCGGCCTGGCTACAAACATGGTCTCTGGTCACCTCTGGGTCTCCACCTTGGGGAACAGTCCACTTCTGAAGCCTCACAATCCACTATCTTGATGGCCAAGTTAAGAATTAAACAGCACTGGGGGGGCACCTTGGGGGCTCAGTCAGTTAAGCCTCCAGCTTCAGCTCAGGTCAGGTCATGATCTCACGGTTCTTGAGCTCAAGCCCCGCATTGGTGCCGTCAGCACAGAGCCTCCTTGGGAGTCTCTCTCTCTCTCCCTCTCTCTCTGTCTTCCTGTCCCGCCCGAGCTCTCTCTCTCAAAATAAAATAAATAAATATTTTTTTATAAAAAGAAGTAAGCAGCACTGTGAAGGCAGCTCGGAGGAACCCTAGAGGCTGAGCTGATTTCGGTTGGGTTTTATCTAATGCGGCTTCAGAGAATAGAGAGAAGTGTCTTCAGGCTTCTCATTCTCTCAGAAGGTGTCAAGTTCATAAACTGAGACTATCAACAACCAGAGCCTACCTGGTCCTTACGTACAATACTTTATCCTCTATTCTTTAAAATCACATTTATTGCCTTATTCTGATCAACCAGGAGAGGTATCATTAGTCTGGTTTCTACCAAGAAAGAAACTGAAGCAGAGAATCTGAGGGACTCTGGCCAAGGTCTCACAATTGGCTGGTGACAGGGCCAGATGGGGCTGGGGTGTCTGCTCCCTCCCAAAGTGTTACGACTATACCTTTCTGTCTTGAGCTCAGCACAGCCTAACACAAGTGGCAAATGTCCTGAATGTCAGAGTATTCACGTGTCCAACCAAACGTTGGCATCTACCAGGCAAATGTGCTTTCTCTTTCCATTTGGAGCAAAGTGTTGTGGAAGCAGCAATGATAGCCTCCGGCCACTCTTTCAGCCGCCGGGTCAGTGTGGAAGTCACTCTCCCTTAAGCAAGAAAAGAACAGGGGTGCCTGGGTGGCTCAGTTGGTTAAGTGTCAGACTCCGGCTCAAGTCATGATCTCACGGTTTATGGGTTCGAGCCCTGGGTCGGACTCTGTGCTGACAGCTTGGAGCCTAGAGCCTGCTTCAGATTCTGTGTCTCCCTCTCTCTGCCCCTCCCCACTTGTGCTCTCTCTCTTTCTCTCAATAGTAAATAAACATTAAGAAATTTTTAAAAGAAAAGAATAATTCCATCTTCATATTTTCCCACTAGCCCGCAGGCCTCCTCTGGGCCGCCTGCTCTGAACATTTACAGACAGAGGCTCCCTGGGCTTCCCGCCGGCGGATGGTCAGCAGAGCCTGAACCTATTTCTTCTCTCTCGTTGCTCTGCCACCTGCACTCCGACTGCAGACGGCGGGTCTCCATGAGTGAGCCTGGCAGACAGGTGTCCCTGCTGGGACCCGGCGGGCACCACACCCCCAGGGCCACCTGAGGACATGGCAAAATGGAAGGCAGTCTGGCCTCTGAGCGAGCTGCCCGAGAGCAGAAAAGGTGTTCTGGACACCACTGTCTGCGTCGCTTCACCTCCTGTGATTTATGGCCCGAGGCCCGACCTCTCTCTCTGGATCTAGGTCACCTGTCCCGGGCAGAGCATAAACCACTAGCTCTGTGGCAACTCCAATCTCCGTAAGAAATGGGAAGACGCCCAGGCTGGCCGCTCCATCTCTCAGGGCTTAGGAGACATCGCGGGGATTGCTGGGCTGCAGAAAGCCTGCAGAGGATTGGGGAGCTAGCAGGTTCTCCGCGACCCCCACCTGCTTGTCCTTACCCCGCGTGGGGGTCAACTATCCTGTGCTGTAAACACAGATCCCCAGTGGGCGCAGGCACCGAAGATGCGCGAAGCTAGTCCCACCATCAGAGACTTTTCCTAAATCCAGACAGAAGGGGCGGCAGATGCCAAGTCACGTGTTGGGGGGAGAGAAAGAACAAGGTGCACAAAAAAAGGGTGATGGTCGGGGCACCTGGGCGGCTCAGTCAGTAAAGCGCCCTACTTTGGCTCAGGTCATGATCTCACAGTTCATGGGTTCAAGCCCCGCATCGGGCTCTGTGCTGACAGCTCAGAGCCTGGAGCCTGCTTCAGATTCTGTGTCTCCCTCTCTCTCTGACCCTCCCCTGCTCATGCTCTGTTTCTCTCTGTCTCAAAAATAAATAAACATTAAAAAAATGTTTCTTTAAAATGGGTGATGGTCAATGCCTACAATCAGCTGGTTTGCACACAGAATCATCCAGGTCTGTCTTACTGGCCTTATTTCAGAGGAAAGAACACCCGTGGCCAGCACGAGAGGGGGACCGGCTGACGCGCAGGACAGCTGGCCTCAAAGCCAGGGTTCCCGGCTCCCAGGACAGGGCTCTTTCCTCGGCCCACCTGCCCCCTTCTCCTGGCAGCTCCTCGACGGCCACAGGAAGTAGGAAAACCAAATTCTGCCTTGTTCTGCCGGTGACTGAGTGAGTGCGTTTGGAGGTACAGCTAGTCTGTCGTTGCTGCTTCTCAAAACCCCGCTCCCCTTACTAATGTTTGAACACACATAGTGTTTATTATTACAGCTCCCAAAGATGCACACTAGTTAAAAGAATTTTACAGCAAACACCCACTTACCAACCACCCAAACGTGACGCATAACACTATACCATACTTCCTTTATCACGTTTTTATCCATCCTTCAATTCATTATATATTTATTTGCATTTCCAAATAATTCACAGACATCAGTGGACTTCACCTCTACACAGTTCAGCTGGCATATCATGTCCTAGAGTCAAAGTTTTCTTTCCTTTTTCTGGGCGGAGGGGAATGTACATGGGGTGAAATATACAAATCTCATGTATTCTATCATATTAAGTTCTTTTTTTTAAGTTTCTTGATTTTATTTTTGAGAGACAGAGAGAGTGCAGGGAGGGGCAGAGAGAGAGGATCCCAAGCATGTTCAGAGCTCACGGTGAGAAGCCCTCCCCCAGTCTCTGTGGGGTTCGATCTCAGGTACCCTGAAGTCATGACCTAAGCCAAAATCAAGAGTCGGACTCAACCGACTGAACCACCCATATGCCCCTATCATATTAAGTTCTTAATATTAAGTAATAAATATTAAGTTAAAATGAGAAAGTTAATTAATGTTGTTTTGAGCATTGAGAAATACACAGTGCCCCTCAAAATGATGAGACGTGCCTTGGGCCATCTGCACCCGCTCTTGGGATGTTCCCGCAACCCCACAGCCAGCAGTGGGAGCCCAGGTGGAAAGTGGATATTTGACACTTCAAGAATACCTTGCCTGGGGTGCCTGGGGCGCCTTGGGGGCTCAGTCAGTTGGGCATCAGACTTCAGCTCAGGTCATGATCTCTCAGTTGGTGAGTTCGAGCCCAGCATCAGCCTCGCTGATGGGAGCCCGCTTAGGATCCTCTCTCTCTCTCTCTCTGCCCCTCCCCACATGTGTGCTCTCTCTCGAAAATAAATAAATACTAAAAAAATTATAATTAAAAAAAAGAGTGCCTCTCCTTAACTGCCCTCCACCCACCCTGTCTGACTTCGCTCCTGACCCTTGTCCCTGCCGTGTGGCCTGGCCCTCACGAAGGACACCTGTCCCTCGGAGTACAGGTGCTGGCCACGGAGGGCAGGTCCAGAGCCCCACATCGGGGGTGATCCACTGGCTGGGATGACAGTCCCCCACCCTAGCTTGCCCGGGAGGGGCCAGAGAGTAGCTTCTGCGATAGCAAGATCAGCAGAGGAAGCCGGTGTTGATCAAAGGAAACTACACTGTTGGCCCAAGAAAAGGCCCCAAGGTCTGTAAGAGGTGGAAAGGAGGGAGGCAGCGGGGCTCACCCCCCGGGGTGGTGAGTCTGACCACACTAACCGCTTGCTGGACTCTTCCGCCACGGCTTGGGTGCCACGTGGCTGCAGCCGCATTCCTGGCTTTGCCCAAAGCAGCTGTCCCCGCCCTCCATGCCTTCCCTCGACACTTGGGGACAGAAGTCAGGGTCAAAACCGAGGGTCTCAGGGGCTGCAGAGATGGGACCTGACAGCCCACCTGTGACCCCGCATTGGGCAGACAATGGTAACGCAGGTGGATCAAGGAAAGTTTAAAAACTACATTGGGGTGTCTGGGTGGCTCAGTTGGTTACGTGTCCACTTCAGCTCAGGTCATGATCTCGTGGTTCATGAGTTCGAGCCCCGTGTCGGGCTCTGTGCTGCCAGCTCAGAGCCTGAAGCCTGTTTCAGAGTCTATGTCTCTCTCTCTCTCAAAAATAAATAAACACTAAAAAGAATTTTAAAGATTGCATATAAGAATATATATATCTTTTCTAATAATTCCACTACCACAAGAGCACCTCCATTAACGTTTTCATTTATAAACTTCCAGTCCTGGGGGCACCTGGGTGGCTCGGTTGGTTGAGAGTCCAACTCTAGGTGTCAGCTCAGGTCATGATCTCAGGGTCACAGGATTAAGCCCCATGTCAGGCTCTGGGCTGAGCATGGCCCCTGCTTGGGATTCTCTGTCTCTCTCTCCCTCTGCCCCTCTCCCCCACTCTCTGTCTCTCTAAAAGACACACACACACACACACACACACACACATACACACAGAGCTTCCAGCTTTTACCCCTGTGCATTTATATATTTTAAAAAGTAAAATCAAATAAACAAAAAAATAAATATAAATGCTATTTTGTAATCAGCTTTTAAAACTCAATGTTATTTTACTATCTTTCTATGCCATTTAAACATATTCTCTGTAACTGTATCTTTCACTTAAAATTTTACATTGTGAATATTTAACATATTCATATTGAATTATGAAGTTATAATTAACATTATGAATCATTTCATAAAAGTAGAAATGCTGGGGTTCCTGGGTGGCTCATTCGGATAAGCGTCCGACTTCGGCTCAAGTCATGATCTCACAGTTCATGGGTCTGAGCCCTGTGTCAGGCTCTGTGCTGACAGCCAGCTCAGAGCCTAGAGCCTGTTTCAGATTCTGTGTCTCCCTCTCTCTCTGACCCTCCCCTGCTCGTGCTGTCTCACTCTCTTTTTCTCTCTCAGAAATAAATAAAACATTAAAAAAAAAAAAAAAAAAGAAATGCTGATGGAGCACCTGGGGGGCTCAGTGGGTTGAGCATCTGACTTTGGCTCAGGTCATGATCTCACGGTTTGTGAGTTTGAGCCCCATGTCAGGCTGTCAGCACAGGACCTGTTTTGGATCCTCTGTCCCTGACTCTCCCTCCCCCGCTCTCTCTTGCTCTCTCTCTCAAAATTAAATAAACATTTTTTTAAAAAAGTAGAAATGCTGCAATGAATGCCCACATAATTATCACCCAGATTCTATTTATCAAGGTTTTGACGCAATTTTCCATGTGACCTTTTTTTTTTTTGCTATAGTAACATACAGCACATGCCAGACATCATGTCGTTTCCCCTAATTACTTCCACACACTTCTTCAAAATATATGGTATATATTATATCACAATGCCACTATCACGCCTAATAAACATTTGGTATCGTCAAATACTCAGCTCAAAACTCGCCAAAATAGGGGCACCTGGGTGGCTTAGTCGGTTAAGCGTCCGACTTTCGCTCAGGTCATGATCTCGCGGTTCGTGGGTTCGAGCCCCGCGTTGGGCTCTGTGCTGACTGCCAGCTCAGAGCCTGGAGCCTGTTTCAGTCTGTGACTCCCTCTCTCTCTGACCCTCCCCTGCTCACGCTCTCTCTCTCTCTCTCCTAGAAATAAATAAAACATTAAAAAAAAAAAAACTCGCCAAAATATCTAAACAATGCATTTCTGAAATCGGTTCCTTTGAATCATGAATTCTAAATGAGAAATAAAATTATGTATGCAAGGAGGCATTTTGGGAACCTAGCACCCAAGAATGTCTCCCCAGTTACCCAGACACAAGGACCCTCCCCCCTCGGCTTTAAGACTGTGTGTTCCTGGTATTTTCACGGGTTCCTAGAGGCATCAAGTTGCCTCGTCCTACCTCTTCAGAGTCTCCAGCGGCTCCTTCCTGCTCATGACGCCAGTGTCTGGGTCCACCGTGGTCAAAACGCACCTGGACGCACGCACACACACAGCATCATACGAGGGACAAAGCAAACTGACCTTGGCCCTCCCACCCTCTCCCCTCCAGGGGCAGAAGGAAGTGCCTTACCTGGAACAAGCCATTACTCTTTTCAGTATGACGTCACCAATAAGAAGCTCATCCCAAGAATCCTAGGGCACAAAGCACAAAATTCATAGGAGCACTTCCGAGCCCTGGCCGTGACACACCTGTGTAGGGACGTGGCATGAGCGGACACCTAATAAAGCCATTTACACCATAGATGGCAGGCTTTTACCTCGGCCCTGAGAAGCCACACACCCTCCTGTCCTCTCTCTGCCTGTGACAGGTCAGTTCATTCCCCTACAGTGAAATGCTCCCTCTGCTCTCACTGAAATTCACTTCCTGGGGCGCCTGAGTGGCTCAGTCAATTAAGCGTCCGACTGCAGCTCAGGGCAGGATCTCGCAGTTCATGAGTTTGAGCCCCACGTCAGGCTCTGGGCTGACAGCTCAGAGCCTGGCTCCTGCTTCATATTGTGTCTCCCTCTCTCTCTCTGCCCCTCCTCCACTTGTGCTCTATCTCAAAAATAAATAAATACACTTAAAAAACAAAAAAGAAAGAAAGAAACTCACCTCTCTGACTGATCTCTCTGGACTCCAGGAGTGGGGGAATGGAGAGGTTGGGGCTGACAGAAGGTGTGGGTGACAGAGCGAAAGGGTAGGGACAGGGGTCACTCTAAACTGTGCATGTCTCTGCTGGACCTAGGTCCTTAGGGCACTGGTACGTTCACCTTGTATCTCCCCTGGCGGATACGAACAAATCGAGAGTGCTCCCCACACCCGTATGCGCTCCAGCCCTGGGAGCTTCTCTGGTATTTGCCCACAGCCAAGGTCACTACTTTTCAGGACAAATCAAATCAATGGACTTGGTGCCCCCTCAAATCCAGCAGGGGAGACAGGGCATACACACAGGAAAAGTTAAAGATCAATATATTTTTCAGGGCTCCAGAAAATTCGAGAAAAAGCAATATAAGATAGTACACTGTGTGTGGGTTTAACTACACAGGCAAGAATTGTTCTGGAGGTTTTAGAAGCACAAACCCTCGGGCTGCTCTGGTCAGTGGAGGTTTTAGGGAAAAGATAGGATTTGAATGGCATCTTCCGGAACAGAGACTTTAGAAGAAACAAAAGAGGGGTGAGGAGACTGAGGAAATAATTATAAGGAAGACATGAGGAGACAAAGGACATCGAATCATAGTCCTAAACTTCTTACCCTGAGAGAGAAGTGCCAGCTGCCTCAGGGATGAAGATAAAAATTCATGACTTAAAACCAACCTGTCCAGTCCAGTGTGGCTGCAGCCAGAGACCTAGAGACTCAGAATTTTCACTCTGGGAGTGTGTACCGTTTTTGCTATATGTATTGCAGCTGGTTTTTTAATGTTTTTATTCATTTTTGAGAGAGAGACAGAGTACGACCGGGGGAGGGACAGAGAGAGGGAGGTATTGCAGCTTCTAATCATAAATGGGTCTCTTAACTGCAGGTCCAAAAAAGCTGAACCTCCGGGGTTAGAGCAGCCCCAGCCTGTTCTGTATGTATTTGTCCACCAGGGGGCACCATGGTCATAAAAAAAGATCCAGAAGAAGAGAAATGTGGATAGGAAATTAATTATTAATTAATTTATGTACACTAGAAACTGTTGGGGATTGAGTCACAGATAAATAACGTAAAAAATTCATAATAAGGAAAGCCAGAGATGTAAGGGGGTCCAAGCCCTGAACCTGCGATACTCTGGCTTTGAGCAGATCCCTGGCTGCCCTGTCATCTCCCAGCCGGCCTGTGTTAATAGCATCCCTGTGGTCACCCAACCCCCTGCATTCACCACCTTCCCTGCCTGTCTTGCAGGCCTGTTCACAATCTGATCACCCTGGACTGTGATCTCCTTAGAAACAACCATGCTTCTTCAATCCTGTTTTCCATGTGTCCATCCACAGTGCATGGGACACACTGGGATCAACTCATAGTGCAATGAGTGACACGCTATTGCAGGGGCGCTTGGGTGCCTCGGGCAGTTAAGTGTCCAACTTCTTGGTTTCAGTTCAGGTCACGATCTCATGGTTTAATGAGATCGAGCCCCGCATGGGTCTCCACACTGTGGAGCTTGGGACTCTCTGTCTCCCTCTCTCTCTGCCCCTCTCCCACTCTGCTGTCTCTGTCTCTCTCAAAATAGATAAATAAACCTAAAAAAAAAAAAACGAGTGACATGCTATTACAAAAATGAGCTCAGCCACAGTGTTGTATTAACATCCAATTTAAAATGTGAAATGTTCCCAGTTAGGAAACACTGAGAGTTATAGAGAAATGAAGGCTTCTAGAACAAGATTCAGTGCAAACAAATCTAAATCTGAGGTCCTACTTTGAGAGGACTGTCTCCACTCATTTTATCTACATCTGACCATCTCAGACCTTTGGGGTAGGATTCGTCATCAACATGACCCAGGGCACAAGGATTACAAGGGAGAAGGAAGCTTAAAGGTGGTCACAGTTGGGGGAATGCCTGAGCCAGGCTCCTTTACTCTGATTATAGGAAAGAGATCATCCCCCACCTCCCCATGACACTTTCTGTGTCTAAGGGCTTTTCCACAGATTGGGATAGACCTTGATTCTTACAGCTGCTGTCAGGAGAGCTGAAATCATCTGCATTTTATAGTGCAAAGAAGCAGAGACTCTGAGGGGTTCAAGGACTTGTCCAAGGTCATACAGCCACTTATTGAAGCAGGTGGATTCAAACCCAGGTGTTCCAACCTCATGCATGCCCCTTAGAATGCCCAGAAGTCCTTTGGCACATGGTACAGTCTGGGTTCAAGACCCAGCTCCCCCACGTCCTGCCATGGGGTAGCCTCGGGCAAGCCAGGTCACATCCCCAGGCCTCTCTCTTCCCCCTTATAAAAAGGGAATAATGACTTTCACCTCCCCAGGCTACAAGGCACAATGTGAGCATTAAATGGAATGCACCCCCTTTCCCTTTTCCTGAGAAGGAAAACCCTCAGGAGAAACTGCTTTCCTGGCCACAACTGGTATGAGACAAATATCAAGGAGACCATCAAAAGCAGCCAACACTGATTTTTGCCTCTTGTCTGAGGCCAGCTGAACTGTGCTGGATGTGAGCAAGGACAGATGCGCTTCCTGTCACAGTGGCATATGGGAGGACAGCCCAGGGCAGGCTCTCGGGGACAGCACACGCCTCCCACGTTACACTAGAAGTTGACCTGCCATCTTTAGAAAGCATGGAATGCTTAGAACACTTCACGTAAAATGTAAGAAGTGGATTTGGAGGTACTTTTATTGCCTGTCACTGACTGACACTGCTTTTATACTTTTTATAAGTCACCTTAGCCAAACTGATCCTTTGACAAACCTGTAAGGTAAATTCTAGGCAGAAAGGATCACCCCATCCTCCAGGCAGGTAAACAAGCCTGCGCAGAGTCGTGCAGAGGCCAGCAAAGACGCTGGAGGCAGACGTCAGAGCCTCAGGTTTGAGTGTGGGCTTCAGTTTCCTAGACTGCTTCTTCCAGCACACATAGCTCCCTTCTCACAGTAAGATGCAAAGGCAGAATCTGTCTCCCTGAGCATAAGGGTTAAAACTCAGTCACTTGGATTCAGGTCTTCCCCTGAGCTTAACCTCCACTTTCCATCTACAAACACCCACCACCAGAACTCTGGAATTCCCATCTGAGAGCAGGTGTCTCTGTTAAGTACCCACAGCTGTATGGTTGCCACTCACCAAGCCTCTAGGCCACCGACATCTGCCTTCGTGGTCAATGAACGAGAGGACCAATGAAGTATCCAAAGACAATGACGAAAGTAAATCTGCTGCCAGAATCATGTGGCACCATGGAAGCCCTTCATGCTAACCCACAGTACAGGCATCTGAGGGCAGACTGAAGATGGCACTGGAAAAATTTTAAGGCAGTGCCATCCAGCTGGGGGACTCCATCCCCATGCACCAGCAGCCATACTGTAAATGCCTATCTTCCCTCAGCAACCATCAATCGAACAGGAAAGCTAACTTCAATAAGACATGAAAATACCCTGCCTTTGTTCCATGGCCCACACACATCATGTATTTTATGCTACATAAACTTGGCTCAAAAACTAATCTACCAGGGCTCCTGGGTGGCTCAGTCGGTTAAGCATCTGACTTCGGCTCAGGTCATGATCTCACCATTCGTGGGTTCGAGCCCCGCGTCAGGCTCTGTGCTGACAGCTAGCTCAGAGCCTGGAGCCTGTTTCAGATTCTGTGTCTCCCTCTCTCTCTGACCCTCCCCAGCTCGCCCTCTCTCTCTCTCTCTCTCAGAAATAAATAAAACATTAAAAATTTAAAAAAAAAAAAAACACAAAAAACAAAAAACTAATCTACCTACTGGGAACTATTCTTAGAAGTCTCAGACCCTGAACTGCTCCCTGACACCAGCACTTCCACTTCATCTATATTTGTGTTCTCCATGCTAATGTCTGACCTGATCAGGTGCTCAAGAACTCAAAATACTGAACAGACCAGCATACAACCAATAATGAATGAATCCTTCAGAATAATCTAATGCAATATCAAATACTTATACTTTAAAAAAAGTTAAATCCAAGGAAAGGGGAAAGGAAGGCATCCTGATACCTCTGCATAGACACCACACCCTGAAATGACGATATTGGGCCTGAAGTTAGCCACTTTAACTTTCTTTTCCAGCCTGGAGTTGAGATCTGCCAAAGATGCCTCAGAGAGGATCAAGAATGGGCTGGCATCTGAGTACACAATCTGGTAAGGAAATGAAATAGAAATGGTTAGAACATGGTCATATGTGGTTAGTTCCTGGAACCCTCCCTTCCCATGCCCCCAGTGCACTCACGTACACACACACACACACACACACACACACACACACAATTTTCAAGTACTTCTTTAGCTCTTTATATAGAAAAGTCACAGTGGTTCAGAAGTGTTAAAGAGCCTTGCAGATAACAGGAAATATATGATAGAACAACAACAACAACAAAAATGTGGCCTTGGGATCCTAAAGCTGCCACTGGCCAAGTGCCCTAGAGGAAGTCACTCCACCTTTCTAAGCCTCAACTTCTCCAATGATGATGGGTTTGATGACCTCACTATGGATGATAAAAATATTCACTGATTCTGTGAATAGCTATTTTTGATGCAGCCTGCAAATCAACATCAAGTACTTTTACCCACCATATATATATTTTTAATGGCCATTGGAACTGTGCTACCAACCCGTCCTTTTACCATGAATCTTTACAGCCATATTCCTACAAGGGCCAACATAGTCACTTTAAGTCTGTGGATCTCCATGCCCACGCTCACTTGCCCAACTGTGATCTGACCATTGCAACCACACCTTAAAAAGGTCAAGCTCCATGTACAATTACAGAATAGAGTGGAAAAGTTTTGAACCCCTGCTGGCACTGGAAAGCTTACATAAATAGGAAAGTAGATGGCCCTGGGAAAAATGCAAGAGTCCCCCAAATCAAGAAACACAGATGAAGCTCCCAAAGGAAGGGCTTTAATTTTGTCTATTCTTTTGAATCCCCAGCTGCTGTTCAGACCAAGCTGCCTGGGAAAATGACAGAGCAGAGCGCAGCAGACACACTGCCCTGCCTCAGAGGCTGCACATGATGGCTGTGCACTCCTGAGGAAGCCTGCCTTCTGCAGGACACACCGAAGACCAAAGCCAAGGGATGCTCTTCTGACCTGGTCTGTGGGCTGGAACACGTCCTTGATTTGGTGAGAATTTCTCAGTCGCATGTGAGGCTCATAGTGCACCAGGAGGTAGGGCTGTGTCTTCAGGAAGCTCGTAATCCACTGGGCAGCAGCCTCCCCACAGTCCCGGCCCTCGATCTCCAGGCCGTGCACTCTGCAGGGGGTGGCAGGAGGAAAGATTGGCCGTGGTTTTGAAAATGTGGACACCTCACCACGCCTTACACATATCAAAAAGTTGTGATGTCTTGGGGCACCTGGGTGGCTCAGTCAGTTGAGCATCTGACTCTTGATTTCAGCTCAGGTCATGATGTCAAGGTGGTGGAATCGAGCCCCACGACGGACTCCATGCTGAAAATGGAGCCTGCTTAAGAATCTCTCTCTTTTTCTCCCTCTCCCTCTGCCCTTCACCTACTTGTGTTCTCTCTCTTTCTCTAAATTAAAAAGAAAGAGAGAGAGAGAGAGAGGAAGGAAGGAAGGAAGGAAGGAAGGAAGGAAGGAAGGAAGGAAGGAAGGAAGAAAGGAAGAAAAAGAAAGAAAGAAAGAAAGAAAGAAAGAAAGAAAGAAAGAAAGAAAGAAAGAAAGAAAGAAAGAAAGAAAAACTGTGATGTCACTGTAATTCTTTATCAGGAAACATGATTTTAGCCTGGTCCTTCCTCAAGTCACAATTTCCAGCCTTGCTTTACTCAGATTTACAATCGAGTGATACATGCCTGTGCCTCCCTATCTGGAAGGAATGCACAGGAGAATAGAATAAGATCAGATGTTTGAAAAGAGTTCTCCAGCTGAAAACTAACCCATCAGTATAAACTCAAAATTACTGCAAAATCTGGTTCAAGCAGCTGGATAGAGCCTAGCTATATTTTACCAGCATGATAATAATACCACTAGATTCAGCAATGTATGTGCAAATGTTCTATAAAATCTAAGACAGTCTAGATAATAATAATAATAATCTAATTGGGGGGCACCTGGGTGGCTCAGTTGGTTAAGCATCTTGGTTTCAGCTCAGGTCATGGTCTCAAGGTTTGTGAGCTTAAGCCCCACATCGGGCTCTGTGCTGACAGCTCAGAGCCTGGAGTCAGCTTCAGATTCTGCATCTCCCTATCTCTCTCTGCCCCTCCCCCACTTGCATTCTGTCTCTGTCTCTCAAAAATAAGTTAATGTAAATAAATAAAAATAATAATAATAACCTAATTTAATTGGATTGCTAGTAATAAGCATAGGATTTGAAGTCTCCACCCCCCACCCCTGCCGATGTACATAGTATGCAGGACAGTACGGGAGTCATATGTATCTCACAGCTGCAGAGAAGAAAGGAACACTTAGAACAGGCCAGTGTTTCCCAAGTGTGGGACCATTGGTACTGTGGGAATTCAAGATAACGGTGGTACTTGGGTCCAACAGGAAAGAATGGTGAACAGTTGCACAGAGAGAAAGACTCCATTCAGTTTCACGATAGGAAGTCCTTAATGTCTAGCAATACGTGATAATAATCTCTTTCTAAAAAGGAAAAAAACAGACCTCAGGTCCAGAAACCTCTACAAGCAATAAATTCTAGCTAGAATTAGGTAACATTCCATTTGTAACATATTTATTATTTCAGTTAACCCCTCCACCTGGAAAAGTGTGGGTATCCATATAAGGTTCCCTATTTAAATAAATGCATCTAAGGTTTGTTTGTTTTTTAAAGCTGAATCAGTTTGAAGAAAAACATTAAGTAAATACAGTTGACCCTTGAACAACATGGAGGTTAGGGGTACCACCCCCCATGCCGTCGAAAATCCACCTATAACTGTTGACTCCTCCAAAATGTAATTACGAATAGCCAACCATTGACCAGAAGTTTGACAGTAACATATACAGTAGATGAACACATATTTTGCGTGCTCTGTGTATGACACATCATATTCTTACAGTACAGTAAGCTAGAGAAAAGAAAATGTTACTAAGAAAATCTTAAACAGGAAATACATTTACAGCACTGGACTGTATGTGTTGAAAAAAAACCTGCATGTAAGTGGACTCACAGAGTTCAAACCTGTATTGTCCAAGGTTCAACCATGAGAGAGGTGGACTGTGACCAACATGAATCATGGTTGTGTTGTGCAAATGCCTGAAGTGTGGGAAAGAGGAGCCAGGTAGACTTCGGTGGGTGTGAATCCTGTTCCCACAAAAGACTAGCCTAGTGATCTTGGAGGATATTTCTTACTTTGTGCTTTAGTTTCTTCATCTATACAATGGGGATAAAATCACAACCTTTTCATGAGGGTCGGGGATAATCTATACAAACTTCCCAAAACAATTTTCAGGTTTCAGAAATGCTCAGCAGATGGTAGTAATTACTCTAGTGTTGTTTTATTGTTTTGTTTTGTCCGGGTATTTCAAGTTAGCTTCCTTCATAGCAGTCTCTTACCATCTTTCCTATTTCTGTGGTATCAGTTGTAATGTCTCCTCTTTCATCTCTGATATTATCTGAGTCTGTTCTCATTTTTCTTAATTAATCTAGCTAAAAGTTGGTAAACTTTATCTTTTCAAAAAACCCAGCTCTTAGGAGTGCTAACTATACTCAATTTTTAAAAAAATGAAAATAAATAAGCCAGCTCTTCATTTTGTTATCTTTTGTATTGTTGTTCTGGCCTCTGTTTCATTTACTTCTGCTCTGATCTTTGTTATTTCCTTCCTCATGTTAACTTGGGGCTTGGTCTGTTCTTTTTCTAACTCCTTCAGGTATCACATTAGGCTGTTTGAGATCTTTTTTTTTTTTTTTAATGTCAGCATTTATGACTATAAACATCTTAGAACTGTTTTTGCTGCATCCCATAGTTTTTAGTAAGTTGTCTTTCCATTTTTGTTTGTTTCAATATTTTTTTTTAATTTTTTTAATGTTTTATTTATTTCCAGGAGAGAGAGACAGCGTGAGCAGGGGAGGGTCAGAGAGAGAGGGAGTCACAGACCGAAACAGGCTCCAGGCTCTGAGCTGGCAGTCAGCACAGAGCCCGACGCGGGGCTCGAACCCACGAACCGCGAGATCATGACCTGAGCGAAAGTCGGACGCTTAACCGACTAAGCCACCCAGGCGCCCCTGTTTCAATATTTTTAAAGAATTTCCCTTTCCATTTCTTCTTTGACTCACTGGTTCTTCAGAAGTGTATTGTTCTATTTCTACATGCTTGTAAACTTTTCAGCTTTCCTATTTTGCTTTCCGGTTTTGTGCCATTGTGATTGTAAAAATGCTTGATGTGACTTCGATTTTCTTAGATTTGCTGATTTGTTTTGTGATCCATCACGTGACTCACTCCGGAGAACGCTCCTTGTGCGCTTGAGCAGAACATGTATTCTGTTGGACAGAACGTTCTGTAAATGTCTATTAGGTCCATTTGGCCTAAAGTCTGGTTCAAGGCCAACATTTCATGATTGATTTTCTCTCTACATGATCTATCCATAGTTGAAAGTGGGATATTGAAGTCCTCGACTACGGCTGCATTGTCCATTTCTGTTAGTGTTTGCTTAATATATTTAGGAACTCCAATGTTGGGGACATATATCTTTACAATTGGTATATGTTCTTGATGAATTCATCCCTTTTCATTACATAATGACCTTCTTTGTCTCTTATGACAATCTTTGGTTGAAAATCTATTTGTTTGATTAAATATAGCAACCCTTCCTCTCTTTTGGTTTCCACTTGTATAGAATATTTTTTTTCAACCCTTCACCCTGAGGGTGTGTCCCTAAAGTTGAAGTGAGTCTCTTAGAGGCAGCTTATATATGGGTCTTGTTTGCTTATCCAGCCAGCTTCTATGCTCTTTGATTGGATAATTTAATTAATTTCCATTAAAGCATTGATAGATAGGGGCGCCTGGGTAGATCAGTTAGTTAAGCATCTGACTCTTGGTTTAGGCTCAGGTCATGATCTCACAGGCTGTGAGATCGAGCCCTGAATTGGGGAATTCTCTCTCTCTCTCTCTCTCTCTCTCTCTCTCTCTCTCAAAATAAATAAATAAATAAAGCATTGATGGATAAGGACTGATTAATGCCATCTTATTATTTTTTAAGCTGGTTTGTAGTTCCCATGTTCCTTTCTTCCTCTTTTTCTATCTTCCTTTGTAAATTGATGATTCTCCACAGTGGAATGCTTTTATTCCCTTCTCTTTATCTTCTATGAAACCTCTGTAGGTATTTGGCTTTGTGGTTACCATAAGGTTGAATTAAAACGTCTTATATATATTTTAAAATAACTATTTGAATGCCTTATTGGGTAAATCCCAGACCTTCATGTTTTTGAAATAGGTTACTAGATACTTATGTTCTTGTGGTGAGGGGTGCCTGGGTGGCTCAGTCAGTTAAGCTTCAGCTCAGGTCATGATCTCACAGTTTGTGAGTTCGAGTCCCATGTCAGGCTCTGTGCTGACAGCTCAGAGCCTGGAGCCTGCTCCGGATTCTCTGTCTCCCTCTCTCTCTCTGCCCCTCCCCTGCTCACACTCTGTGTGTATCTCTCTCTTTCAAAAATAAACTTTAAAAAAAATCAAAATTATGCTCTCTTGATGATGACATGTTTCATTGACTTTTCATGTTCCTTGGGGTTTCATGTTGCTATCTTCATATCATAGGCAGCAGTCACCTCCTCCAGCCTTACTAACTGCCTTCAGGAAAGAATGTTCATAAATATCCACAATAGGAGTACCTGGGTGGCTCAGTTGGTTAAGTATCCACCTCTTGATTTAGGCTCAGGCCATGATCTCTTGGTTTGTGAGATCGAGCCCCGCATCAGGCTCTGCACTGACAGTGAGGAACCTGCTTGGGATTCTCTGTCTCCCTCTCTCTCTGCTCCTCCCCCACTTGTACTCTATCTCTCTCAAAATAAATAAATAAGCATTTTTAAAATAAATAAATACCCACAATATAAGGCCTATAAATTAGCACAATTTCGCTTTCTGCCTTCTTCCTTCCTTTCTCTACCCACATTTCTCCTGTGTTCTGAGCAGCCTCATCTGCGTCATTAGGTCTAGCATTCCACTGACACACTGTCCCAGAGAATCCAAGCCAAAGAGGAGCACCTGATAGCTCAGTCAGTTGCGCATCCGACTTTAGCTCAGGTCATGATCTTGAAATTTGTGGGTTCGAGCCCCGCATCGGGGTCTGTGCTGACAGCTCAGAGCCTGGAGCCTGATTTGGATTCTGTGTCTCCCTTTCTCTTTGCCCCTTCCTGGCTCACACTCTGTCTCTCTCACACAAAAATAAATAAACATTTAAAAAAAGTCTTTTTTAAAGAATCGAAGCAAAAGAAAAAAAGATGTTCCTAAAACCTCTGACAAAGATAACACAGCCATGGTTTGAGGCTGCTTGCCAGAATAATCCATATAAGGACCCTAATTCTCTGTATCCCATTAGCGGCTGGCACGGCTTGTGAGAAAATCGAGTAACAATCTCAACAGTAGAAACAGGTGTACTGGCTATGATCATGACCTTCTGAAAGTGATCCCCAGACCCAAGACTCATCAGAAACTTTAGGAGACTGTGGGCTGCAGTTACAACTCCTGCCCAAGAGAATGGCCTGAGCCACCAAAGGAAACCAGGGTCCAAAAGGCCCTTGACATCTTTGCTCTAAGAGTCTGTGAACTATTGTAACATGTCTAAACATTCTCATTTTGCAATTTCCAAACATGATCTTGTTTAGTCAATGAGCATGGACCAAAGAGCCTGTATGGGACCATGAAAAAAGTTTCCACATGATTCCAAATGAATTAATAATTAAGTGGGGAAAAATTAGCCACAAAGAAGTCTGGGTAGATACCTAGTCATGGCAGACAAACAGGAACCAGGACGTAAGCAAACATAAAACACAAATTGCAATAGACATATTAAAAAGTTTGCCTTCTTATGTAGAGCCTACAACTATTGAGCTCATAAGTTCAAGCCCTATGTTGGGCAAAGAACCTACTTAATAAATAAAAATAAAAATAAATATAAATAGAGGCGCCTGGGTGGCTCTGTCAGTTAAACGTCCAACTTCGGCTCAGGTCATGATCTCACGGTTCGTGGGTTCGAGCCCCACATCGGGCTCTGTGCTGACAGCTAGCTCAGAGCCAGGAGCCTGCATCAGATTCTGTATCTCCCTCTCTCTCTGACCCTCCCCTGCTCAAGCTCTCTCTCTCTCTCAGAAATAAATAAAACATTAAACAATGTTTTTAATAAATAAAATTTTTTTAAAAAAATAAATAAATATATATTTTATAAAAATAAAAAGTTTGCCTCAAACAATAAATTAAATGCAAATAAAAACAACAGGAAACTTCCATCTTTTTCCTATAAAAATGACCAAATGTTTGTGAACATAGTGGTCAGAATGCAGTTAGACAGACTTGCCCATAAAACCCTGGTGGCTATATTTAGTATAACCATTCTGCAAAACTATTTAGCAACATATATCAAAAGTCTTGTTTCTAGCAAAACCATTGCTAAAAATTTTTCTCTAAGAAAATAATAAGCAATTTGAACAAAGATTTATACCAAGATACTTGCCACATTCTTCTTCAAACCTGGAGAAAATGGAAAACAATCCAAATATTTAATTGTGGGAGCACGTTAAAATGCATTATAGGGCACCTTCAGGATGAAATGGTACACTAACAGAAAAACCATTATTTTAAAGATTTTTAATAATATGAAAAAGTACTCAATGTATCAACTTAAGTATAAGAACGTAATCATGTATTTTTTCTATTTTTATATTATTTTTATATTGTTTCTCTTCAAGGATTAGCTATAAAGACAGAAAGAAAACATCAGAATATGACTTACAGTTATCTCATGGGTTTTTGTTTACGTTTTCTAATTTAGTACTTTCCAATTTTTCAACTATGAATATGTATTATGTTTACAATCAAAAAGTCATCAAAATTAAAATAAGAACATATTATGTCTAAAACTCTAAGATAGTGTAGAAACTATATTGGTGTTGCATCTTACAAACTTCTTGGGGTCTTTAGATATTTTTCGGCTAACTCGGATCTACATGTATTGATGTAACGTTATCTTCTACAATAGGCCATGGACTGCATTCAGCACTCACAACGCATTTTAATTCAAAACGCAGAAACTGACAAGAGCAGAATTAGACTGAATCCTACCTTTCTCATCCCGGGATAAAAAGTCAATTCTAGACACGAGCTCTCAGAAGCAGAGCCGGTTTTCCCACACTAGCTGCTTCTGGGCAGCCCTTCTAATGTTGGGGAAAGAGAGGCCGCACAGACTAGTCTCCTGGCTGAGTCTCCCGCCCCGCTATGCGCGGACCCCTGGGCATCCGGACGTCAGATCACGCTTCTGGTCGCAGGCGTCTTTCCCGTCTTAGAGTTTCCTTTCATTAAATAGTCCACGAAAACGTTTGCGACTTCTGTCCCAGTCCTGCCAGGCAAAATAGGGCAAGTCCTATGGTAATTGGAGGTCTAATCTCACCTCTTCTCGGACACCTCATTTTTGTCCTTTATCCTTTGGTGGTGTTATTTCTCTCGCTGACGTGTGACTATGCTTTTCTCCCATGGTTTTCTACATAGGACTTTTCTGTCTCTCAACCCCACATTAACACACATTTCTGAAGCTGCTTCGTTTGTTGTTTTTTTTTTTAGTTTATTTATTTATTTTGAGACAGAGAGAGAGAAAGAGAGAGAGAGAGAATGTGCACACACAAGCAGGGGAGAGAGAGAGAGAGAGAGAATCCCAAGCACATCCCGTGCTGAGCAAAGCAGAGCCTGATGTGGGGCTCGATCCCAAGAACTGTGAGATCATGACCTGAGCCAAAATCAAGAGTCAGACATTTAACAGACTGAGCTACCCAGCTGCCCCTTTTTTCTTTCCTCCCTCCCTTCCTCCCTCCCTCCCTCCCTCCCTCCCTCCCTCCCTCCCTTCCTTCCTTCCTTCCTTCCTTCCTTCCTTCCTTCCTTCCTTCCTTCTTCTAAAGCTGCTTCCTTGTTCCTCTTTCTTTTCTATCATCATGACATTGAGGACTTGGCCCTACTACGCTCGCAGTCAATGGTTAATCAATCCCAGTGTTTCTCAGGGTGCCTCCACAACTCACACTCCCTCACGCTGCGTGAACAAATGCTCACACGAGGAGTCCGGTCCACCTTTCCCTTACCTGCACTTGTACACGGCGTTTGTGGCGGGTGCCTTGATGGGCAGCAGCAGGTCCTTGGTGTAGGCTGCGCTGAGGGTCAGGGCCTCGCCCTCACAGGTCAGGGAGATCAGGACCAGACGGGGTTCCTGCCGAGCAGTAACCATGTGCCCCTTCTCGTTGACCACAAGCCAAAACCTGCCACATTCAAAACACAGGTGATGGGTGGCCCTCCCGTGAGAGGCATCCCGGCGTGGACACCCCTCTTTCATTTCCTCCCTGTCAGCCTGGTGTGTGTTGAGTGTGTGTTTGTGTGTGTGTGTCTGTGTGTGTGTGTCTATGTATCTGTCTGTCCTAAACATCCACTTAACAGCACAGCAAGACTGAGTCTGTCAGTGAATTTCAAAGGGTTTTGAATCCAAGCATCCAATGTATATAATCTCTTCAGAACGTGTTGAGCTCCTTGACGGCACAGAAACCAAAGACGTTATTATATTTTCCTCTCGACTGCCTGAAGGTCTGACCACTTTCATTAAACATGCCCCAAGAGATGATGGGAAATTGTTTCCCAGAAAGACTTGAAGGGTACGAGGAACGAAGCACAGTAAGGAGACTACATCCCTATGGATCTCAGAGCGTGGATTTCAGCGGAGAAGCGCACGTGCCACCCCCGCCTTGCCGAGGCCACGCCCACCTTTGAAAAAATTCAAGTTTCAATATTCGGGGCTGCGAATGCTACAAGTTGCTCAAAGGGCTATTGTCACCATGGACAACATTTCTTCTAACCCAATACTCCTGATCTAGAGGTACTTCCAGGAAAAACGAGGTACATGGAAAAATGCGAATAACAGGAAACTATCTGGGGGTGCGGGGCGGGGTGGGGAGGGGAGCCACTGGTATAGGTTATTTCTCAGCTACCGAGGAAGCTAAATATACTGACGTTCTGATCATTGCATTTCTCACTGGATCAAATGAATACAGTTCTAGAAGTGGGCCCGTGCTCTTGGAATCGGCAGACACAAGATAAAAAGATGGCAGATGCGTGAAGTTGTTAAAGAGCTCCCGTGCGCCACCTCCAGCAGGACATTGTGGTTGAGATGTTTCAGCCACACGAGAAAAATAAGGTTAATGAAGCCTTTTCTTGAACTGCCTGTTTATCGACCCAGACAGAGCTCTGCTGTCTGTACCAGGCCCTTGGTACCAGCACATGCATAGTCTTCTTCGTGTAATAATTCCATCAGGTGACGGTGACAGTCTGATCTTTCTAAACTACAAATCTAATCAGATTCTCCCTACCCCCCCCCCCAGCCCCGCCCGTTCCTGCTTTCAGGATAAAACCCCGACTCTTCAGCAAGGCAGGCAAGGCCCGTCCTAAGCCAGCTGCACCCAGCCATTCGCAACCAGCCCTTCTTCTTTCTAATCGTTTTTATTGTCGTAAAATATGTACAACATAAAACACCTGGCATGCTCCTAGGTTCATCCAAAAGGGCTGAAAACAGGGCCTCACTTGGAAACAGTGACGTTCACAGAAGCATTGTTCCCAACGCCGAAAGGTGGAGGAAACCATCCAAGTGTCCGTCCACAGAAAACATGTTTTTAAACGTGGTTTTAACGATCATAGGTGCACAATTTAATGGCATTGAGTCTCTTCACAATGTTATGCAACTATCGCCACTATCTATTGCCAAAACTTTTCCGTCACCCCAAACAGAAACTTTGAACCCGTGAAGCAATTACTCTCCATTCTCTCTCCTCTCCCCCGAGCGCCTGGTAAAAGCCAGTCCACATCGTGTCTCTAGGGATTTGCCTCCTGCAGATGTTTCATGTCATTAGACTCATATATAATATTGGCCCTCTTGTGTCTGGCTTAATTCACCTAACTTAATGCTTGTAAGATCGATCTATGCTGTAGTGCGTAGCAGACCTTCGTTCCTTTTTGTGGCTAAACACTACTCGGTGGTGTGTCTATACCACATGTTGTTTATCCAGTCATGTGTTGATAGGTATTTGGGTGGATTTCACCCTTGGACTACTGTGAGTAATAATACCCCAGTGAACGCTGGTGTTCGCGTATCTCCCTTTCGGTAATTCCTTCAGAGTGCACTAGCCTTTCCCCCAGCATACCTTACCCCCCAAATCCAGGGTCTTTACCCAGCTTATTCTCTCTCTCTCTGTCTCTCTGTCTCTGTCTGTCTCTCTCTCTCTCTCTCATGTTCCTTTCCCAATTTACTTGCCGGGAAAGCTCATAATTATTTTTAGATTTTCAGTTCAAGCTGTGACGTCATTCCTGACCACCCCAGACAGTTTCTGGGGCTCTTCTCTGTGCTCCCTGGCACTGGTCACACGGAGTCCTCTGAACACCTGTGTGCTTCTCCTTCAGGCTTGCTGGTAACATGATGACAAAAACAGCGCCTGCCACAAATGCCAGCTCTTATTATTTATCATTGTATAAGCTCAGTAAATATTCTTAGTCAGTACAGGACAATTAAAATACCTTCGCCTCTGGGACCTACAAAACAAATTCAATATGTTGTACCATCTTTCAGAGTTGGTGAACTCTGCATAAACCATGAAATACCTAGGATTCTTGCCTTCCTTCCTGAAGCAAAGATGCAGAACTCACCTCCCAAATACGTCGTGAAGGGGCTTCTGCCTCTCTGCTGCAAAGGGGGGAAGCTATAGCCCGCCTCCTCCCCAGTTCTGGGTCATTTGCAGGAGCTGAGGGCTGGTCTGGAAGGAAAGCGATTGAAGCAGAGCCCTACAAGTGAGGCCCTGGGCTGGCCTGACGCCAGACCCAGAAGAGAACAAAGCTGCGCGCTCTGGGCCTTTGCAACCTTCGCTGAACCCCAGGAATTCTCGCGGATCGGGACTACCCAGATAGGCCATTATTAATAAAACGCCTCTTCACGAAGCACCCAAGTGCTAAAGAAAACCAGAGTCCTGGCTCCACCGCTGGGTGGCGCGGAACCCCAGTTTCTTTGTTCAGAAAAGAGTGCTTGCGCGCATTAGGGAAACAGAGGCAATAGCGCGTCCTCGGCCGCAGGAAACTGAAGCTTCAACAGCTGTCCTTACGAGCGCGGCACCTTGGTGCGCCCTTTGAGAGCTGCGCTCCGCGGCCCCAGGTTTCCCCCAAGTTCTCCAGAGACAGTTGCATGAAACCACTGTGGCGGGGACCAGTCCCTGGAAGGTCGCCGCCTCCGCTAGATGGAGTGGAACAAGTCCGCGGGCACATGGACACACCTGGGCGCGCAAACGCTCCTGGGCAGGAGCGCAGAGGTGAAAGCGCCCGCGGGAGACGGAAATGCAGCTGGCTCGGGGAAGCGGGTCGGGACACTTGGGCCCTGGGTCTCGGGTCCCTGGGGTCGGCTGTTGGGACGTTAATTGCCGCTCGTTCTCTTTGTCCTTGCCCCCTTGAAAGGGTAGGAAGGACCCGCTGGCGGACTCTGCAGACCGCCCCCGCCCGAAGCCCTCCTGGCGCAGCCCGGGCCCGGCTCGGCTTTACCTGTCCCGCAGGTGGCCGCAGCGCAGCCCCAGGGCCGTGCACTCCGCGGTGCTCACCGCCACCCCCTTGCAGGACTTGACCGGGTAGATCCAGAGCTGCGCCACGGTGCCCACCTGCTGCAGCCGCCGCCGGCGCCGCCTGGACCGCGCGCGGCGCCAGGCGACCGTCCCCAGCGCCACGGCGGCCAGTCCCAGCGCGGCCACCCCGAGCCAGCCGGGCCGGGGCGGCGCGGGGAGGCGCGGCGCGGGGAGGCCGAGGCGGCCCGGGGCCGACGAGCCGGCGGCGCCCATGGCCGAGCGGGGGCGG